GGGATAGAGGATTCATCAGAGACAGAGTGGGAACAGAACAGGCAGATCTACTGAAATACACTGCTGAGGGGAACAGCGGGCATGACAGGAGAGGTCTCCGTGCCATGCGGGACCTTCTCCGGTCAGCTGGGATTGAACCAGCGCTGCAGAGGCTGCGGACAGCTTCACAGAGCTGCGCTCAACCACCTGCACCACCAGGGGAGGCCCTGTTTTAAATACAATTCTTTTTTAAAGATTTATTTTATTTTTATTTTTATACAAGAACTGGGTACAGACCAGATGGGCAGGAGGGTGAGAGGATTCACCAGAGACAGAGCGGGGAGCAGAACAGCCAGCCAGACTGAAATACACTGCTGAGGGGAGCAGGGAGAACAGGAGAGGTCTGCTTGCCATGTGGGATTCTCGCCGGCCGACCAGATCGAACTGGGGTGCAGAGGCTGTGGACAGCTTCACAGTGCGACCCTTGACCGCCTGCGCCACCAGGGAGGCCCTAAATACAATTCTTCACACGCCTCACTTTATTTGCATTTAGAATTAGGACATTCTACCTTTTGATTTTTAGACCGTAAGAGGTAATGGAAGAATTTCGTCTTATTTATCCCGCAGGCCCAGAGGTGATCTTTTTTCCAAAGTCCGAGCCCGGAGCCATTGGGCGACAGGGCACCCATCGCCCCGGCAGGGGCACATTTGCACCTTAAAGCAAGCAGGGGGTAGAGAAGCAGGAGACTTCCAAGAGCTCACCTGGTCATCTGGGGCGCACAAGTCAGGCTCCTGGCCAGAGAAAGTCCATCAGACATTCCCTGAAGCTTGTAGTCCACCCCCAGGCCTTGTGCCAACATAATTCCAGCTAATGAGCAGGTCACAGTGGGCTGGGGCAGGCGGGCTGGGGCAGGAGGACAGGCGGGTCTGTTACAGGCTCCGGGACTCCCAGCCTTTCACCGACAGTGTCCACCGCAGCCAGACCCTAAAATATCTGCAAGTCATTAAAACAGCAAACAAGGTTGCTTAAATTTCTGGGAAAGATTTTTTTTTAAATCATGGTTAAAAATCCCCTTACCTGAAGCTGATATAAAAGCAAGGTTTGGGCCCTCCAGGATGGCGCAGGGGTTAAGCACAGCACTACGAAGCCATCCGCACGAGTTCCATCTGATGGAGGACAAGAATGGAAAGACGGGGAAGGAGGCCTCACAAGCCTAAAACCTGACTCACACAAGGAGGTGGGGGTCAAGGAGAATCACATGACCATTATCCCAGCTGTGGAGGTCATGACCCTTAAGCACCAGTGCCTTGTCACTAGGCAGGAGACCCAAGCAGGCTGAGATGCTCTAGGGAGTGGCGCACAGGCCTGCGGGGAAAGATATGGAGATTGGGCCCACCCTGGAATCTCTGGTCCTTCTGTAGTGTTGCCTGTTACCCAACATCAGCCACAAGCAGCCACTCCAGGGAGGAGCGACCCCTCCCAAAGAGGAAAGGACTGAATCGGGGCAGTCTCTGCACAGGCTCGGGGCACAGGCTGCCCACCTGTGACTATGCAGGAGCCTCTTTTCACCAACTCTCTCTCCCTCTGCAGGGCAACAGCCTCCTGCCTGCCGTGACCTGTCAAGGCCGCCCGCCTGCAACCATGTGGGCCTCTCTCAGCAAAACCTGTCCCTTTCCTTTTCCCTAATAAACCTGCTCTTCAAATAGAACTAATGTCGCTGTCTCATGGAGAAACATGCCTGGGGAAGTCACCGTGTGCCGCTGAAACGGGAGCTCTGGGGACACCTTCCCCAGAGTGAGCCCCAGGACCCGCACGCACTCAACAACCTACAACATTTTGGCAACCACGAAGGGACTCTACACGTCATCTGGTGCCAACATCCCATCCCCAGCCAGAAAGGTGACCCCCAGGGCGCCGCAGACCTCTCCTGTCTCCCCGCTGCTCACCTCAGCAGTGGATTTCAGTCAGTCTACCTGTTCTGTCCCCCACTCTTTCTCTGGTGAATCCCCTTACCCCCACCCCCGCACCTCTGCCCTGCAGCCCAGCTCTTGTGTTCATAAGTAAATAAATCTGTAAAAAAATAAAATAAAATAAAATAAAGCATGACTAAAACATCATTTACCTGGAGATCCTGAAATGGATCCTATTGCAAACATTAAAAGCAACTGTTATGGGGCCTGCCTGGTGGCGCAGGGGGTTAAGCACCTCACTGTGAAGCAACCCACAGGCTGCTGCAGAGTTCGATGCCCAGCTGGCCAGGGAGCATCCCTCATGGCGCAGAAGACCTCTCCTGACTCGCCCGCTGCTCCCCTCAGCAGTGTCCTTCAGTCAATCTGCCTGTTCTGCTCCCCACTCTGTCTCTGGTGAATCCTCTCACCACTCCCCCGCCCCCGCCCCCGCCCCGCATCTCTGGCCTGTGCCCCAGCTCTCGTATGCATACACAAGAAATCTTTAAAAAAAAGAGCAGCTATCACCCAAATACATTATGAGAAAAATGAAGGCTCTTGGCCCCACATATCATGTTTCTCTTTGCAAATCATGGTGCAACAAGGTGTGGCCCAGACTCTGACATCCCGGAGTCTCTTCCGTGGTGTGGTGGTTAGGGGTTGGGGTCCGGCCAAGCTGCAGAGACTGGGGGTGGTGCACGCCCCTGTCATCAACAGTGATGGCTGAGGCCGAGGGGGCGGGGCCGCGCCTGCGCAGAGCCCGGAAGCGGAGCCCCGGCGCCTCAGGCGGAAGCGCGTGGCCCCAGAGACTACATTTCCCACAAGCCCGTGCGCGGCCAGGGTGCCGTCCGGAGGCGCGTCCTGAGGGTGGCGTTGAGGGGCCTTGGGGAAGTGGGCGAGGCCCTGAAGACTCGGGGCGCAGGAACTGCTGCAGGGCCGCGATGGGAAGGCAGGAACGCGTGGTGTCGCCATGGACTTGGGCTCCTCACACTCCCCCTCCTCTGGGGCTCGGGCGCTGCCTCCTGGCGAGGGCGAGAAGGGGCAACTCCTCGGCGGCCGCGGCGGGGCAGCTCCACGGAGGGCGCCCCGGGGTCCGCGCTCGGCCGTCCCGGTCGCCGGTGAAGGGCGGGCTGGGTCGCTCCCGGGGGGGCTGCGCCTCCGCCCCCAGTCCACCCGCCCCCGCCGCGCTCGCCCCGAGTCCGCTGGAGGCCGCCAGGCCCGAGTCCCCGTCCCCTCGGAATGTTTCTTGAAAGGCCTGAGCGGGCGCGGCCGGCAGCGTCTCCTGAGGATCGCGACATGGAATTGCGGGCGCCGCTCCCCGGCAGGCGCCTCCGACAAACAGCCCCGTTTCAGGAGTAATCGCCGCTGGGCCGAAAAATAAGCAAGTGCCGCCCAGGCCAGTAACACCACGAAATGCGTCCCTGGGCACACACACAGCCTGCCTCCCCATGCGCACGGTGTAAACACCCGCACTTCTTTTCCAACCGTTCTGTCATTCCTGACCGACGTCTCAATGTCTTCACATGTCGGATTCAATATGTATCAGCAACATGACAATGTGCGTGTGTGCGCGTGTAGGCCACGAGAAGGTCCCTAAGAAGCTCAATCCCTGGCCAAGGAGGTGACCCAGCACACCTCTCCTGTCTTGCCCACTGCTCCCTTCAGCAGTGTATTTCAGTCGGTCTGCCCGTTCTGTTCCCCACTCTGTCTCTGGTGAATCCTCTCAGCACCCCCACGCCTCTGGCCTGTACCCCAGTTCTTGTGTGCATAAATAAATAACGCTTAAAAAAAAAAGATAGGACTAATGAGGAGCATTTCAACTGCACCATCATGAACATGGGTGCAGAGTCCTGAATAAACGATGCACACTGAATAGAAAAGGACCTTTAACAACTTTACCGCATGAACAACTGGGAGAACGTGCTGGAATTAAAAGGGAGACCCAATACATGAAAAACTCTCAATGCAAGACTCCAGAGTAGCAGAATCGAGGGTGAAAACCGCATGATCATAGCCACCCACGTAGACAAAGAATGAGACAACAGTTAACACTCTTTCATGACACAGTCACTCGGCCCAATAGAACTGGACACACTAGCCAGGACTGCAATCCCTAATATTAAGCTGTCGACATTATGCAGAGTTATCTAAAGGATCGGAATAATCCCCATCAAAATTCCAGTGACATATTTGAAGGAAGAGAGACCCCACCCCCAAAATTCATGTGGAAAGGAATAAAAAGTGATTGTGTGGGGACGCCTAGGGACGTAGACTCACAGGAGCAAGGGCCGAAGGATTACAAGTTCCACTTGCAAAATCCACGGTGGCCACGTCACCCCTTTTGGATATAAAGGGGAAACTGAGCAGTACCTTCTTCCAGATTTAATGTGATGCGTTATGCACACCTCCCGGGAAATGAACCCCAAGCCCTCGTCAGGAGATCAGGGTAAAACCATGGCCAGATGAAATATTCAACATTCTTTAATAATAAAAGCGATGATCAGCATGCTTTACATGTTATCCAGAAGAAAATATACTATATATATATAAAAAATATACTTTCCATTAAACTATTAACTGTTCTTCCCAACATTTAATTAATCTTATTTATTAAATAAATTTTATTCCCAAAGATTTCATTTTGTTTTATGCTTGTCGGGCAGAATTTTATGTTCATTTTTATTATATTCCTATGCATAATGTGAAAATTCCTGCCAGAACGCAGAGGTAATTCATATGAGGGAAAGAGATTTTTTGGTGGGGGGGGGGCAAGGAGTCAGACATTCTTAATTATTTAAAAAAAAAACACAAGAAACTCTTAGTGTCACCCTGTAAACCCTGTGAACGTTAACAACAAGGATTATGTCGCTATCCATTACTCCAAGGACAGAGACTGAAATTCAGCCTGGCCCACACACCCTAGATCATCTGTTGCCATCCTCCTTCCATTAAGTAAATAGAAAAATATACCCAGCTCATGGGTTGGAGGAATCAATGCTGTCAAAATGGCCATCCAACCCAAAGCAATTTAGACATTCGATGCAATCCCAATAAATATCCCAATGGCGTTCTTCAAAGAAACAGAATAAAGATTACTGAAGTTTATAAGAAAACACAAAAGACCCCAAAGAGCCAAAGCTTTCTTGATATTAAAGGGGGGAAATGAAAGTATCTCACTCCTGATTTCCAATTATACTGTAAAGCCAGAGTAGTTAAAGCAGCATGGTAATGGAACAAAGACAGACACACAGATTAATGGAACAGAATTGAGAGCCCAGAAATAAAGCCACATGTTTTGGGACAATTCATATATAAGACAGGAGCAAAGTCCATACACTGGAACAAGGAAAGCCTCTTCAATAAAGGGTTCTGGAAAATTGACTGCCACGTGTAAAATAATGAAACTAGACCATGATCTCACATCACACATGAAAATCAACTCAAAATGGATAAAAGACTCAGATATAAGACCTGAAAACATCAAATATAGAGAGAAAAACCTATGCAAAATGCTCCCTAACATAAATCTCAGAAACATGTAAAGGAGAAAGTAAACAACGGATACTATATCAAACTAAAAATTTTCTGTATGGCAAAAAAGACAGTGACCCAAACAAAGAGACACGGTCTGAATGGGAGAAAATACTTGCACACCCTATACCTGATAAGGAATTAATATCAAAGACCTACAAAGGACTTATGCAACTCAACAAAATGAAAACAACCAATCAAAAATGGGAAAATTAGCTAAAGAGTCACTTCTCCAAAGAAGACAAACAGATGGCCAATAGGCACATGAAAAAATTCCATCATTTATCATCAGGGAAATGCAAACCAAACCATAATGAGACATGACCTCACCTCACAACTGTGAGAATGTCCCACAGTTAAAACACACACACACACACACACACACACACAAGTGCTGGTGAGGATGTGGAGAAAAGGACCCTGTTACACTGTTGGTGGGAGTGTGAACTAGACTAGTCCGGACACTATGGAAAGAAGCATGCGCGTTCCTGAAAAGACTGAAAATGGATCTTCCACATGACCTGGCAATTCCGCTCCTAGGGATCTACCCAAAGAACACAAATGAGGGGCCTTCCTGGTGGCGCAAGGGGTATATAGTCTCAGCACTATGAAGCTCTCTGCAGCCACTCTGTCCTGAATGCAATCCCTGGCCAAGGAGCTAGCCACATGGTGCAGCGACCCTCCTGCCTCCCCGCTGCTCCCCTCAGCAGAGGATTTCAGTCAGTGGACCTGTTCTGCCGCCCACTCTGTCTCTGGTGGATCCTCTCACCATCCACCCACCCCCCACCAAGCCCTGTGCGTACACACACACACACCCCTCTGCCCTGCATCCCAATTCTTCTGTGCATATATAAATATTTAATAGACATCTTGATTCATGAAAATGTCCCCTGGCTCTTGATTTACAGGAAGAAATGATTGGAAACCATCTCAATTTATCAAATGTGACCATGTTCAGTCAAGAAAGTGGAATACAAAATTCTCGAGATAGTGTTATTCCAGCATGGATAGAAAACAGGAATGAACTCACCTAGTGTGCAGTGGACAAGAATGGACTTGGCGTCCAGTGGAACACGATACAGCAGTGACAGCAGGAGGCTCTAGCTGCAGCCAATCCTGGAGATCATCTTGCCCACATCTTGTTGAAAGAGTCTCCATAGAAAATGAATCGAATAGGACTGATTAATATTTCACATACCAGACAAAATGAAAATCATGTTTTCATGCTACATTTCCAAATACACCATTATGTGAGACCGTGTCGTGAAGAGCATGGGGAATCGTTATTTTTTTTAAGATTTATTTATTTATTTATTTACACAAGCACTGGGTACAATCAGAAGCGCGGGAGGGTGAAAGAATTCACCAGCACCAGGGCGGGGAGCTGAACAGGCAGACTGACGAAATACACTGCTGATGGGTCAGCAGGCGACAGGTCTGTCGTGCCATGTGGGACCCTCACTGGGGGCCGGGGATCGAACTAGCGCTGGAGAGGCTGCGTGGGCAGCTTTGCAGCCCAGGGCTCAACTGCTGCTCCACCAGGGGAGGCCCAGGAATCGTTATTGTAAAGGTCACCTATTGGTGGGAACTCAGAGAGGAAGATGATGACATGTGATGGTATGTTTCTTCCCCAGTTCATGGGAGTTCATGTTGTGATTCTGTGATTCTCTTCATGGATACGAACTGCGCTTATACACAGGTCACAATTCAAAATAATGGAAATCACCCAGAAGAGAGTCAGCTAACTCAGAAAAGTGTTTCTCTGTGGATGAAAGATCATCATTGGCCATAGTTCATTTTATTTTCATCTACGGTTGAAATTTCCTAGAATGTACACAGCTCTCTCTGAGGATCAGACCAGTTGACTCTAGCTCGTGAAAACTCACTGCTGCACTTATATCCCCGATCCTTGGCAGGGGTAAAGGAACCAGTCAAATTATTTTCAAAGTGAATCATTCTATTGTGGTCATAGAAAAACTACTACTAGGGTAAAACTATGGCCTGCCTGCCAGTCAGGCAGGCTTAAGCAGAGCAGACTCATCTGGAGCAAATGTCAAGGTCACCTCACTGATATTAGTGAGGCAGTTTGGGTTTCTGGCCTGAACCTAGGCTCCTGATCATTCATAAATCCAAACAAACACATTTTGCCTTTTTTTCATTTTTAAATTTAGAAATATATTCTGCTTAACTCAAAGCTTTATCTTGCTTTTATTAAAAAAGAGAAACAACAGGACACTCACTGACAGTCCAGAGCCTTCGAGCTTTCCAATACAAGAGTTCTGAAAGCTGTACATACCTATGGAAGGAAAAAGGCCAAATGACAAATGGAGCCATGACGTTTCAGCAAACTAGATTTGAAATAACTGAAGACCACCTGCTGCCTAGTTCATTGACTTTACCAAAAAGCAAACCACAAAAAATAGGACAATGTAGAATGAAATTCCTGTGTTCCAAATCAACTCGCCCCACATTTATAGCCATCTCCAGGGTCCTACCAACGGCACACGGTCATTTTCTGTCTCCTCCTAGAGCACAGATCCTGATGATGGTAGCGGAGATTCCATGGTCAACAAGAGAGATGGTGGCACCAACAAAAAGCATTCCACTTTTGTGGAATTGCAGCCGTGGACTGACTTCCAGGTAGGCTTGCCATCCCTACGAAGCCAGAAGCATCGTCAATTATTTGGGTTCTAAGACTCCAAAGTAGTAAAGAGGAAGGAAAAAAACACCTCTAGGAATAACCAGAGCCAGGTCAAGGAGCCGTCAACACGCCAACATTAGGGTTCTCCACCACAGAGTAGGAGTAACATCTCTAGAGTGTCATTAATGGAGATCACTTGCTTCAGTCACGGGAGCATTGCAGGGCCTCACATCACTCCAGCAGGTGCTCAGTAAATGCAATTCCTTTCTCCTTCCTCGAGGAGCCCAACTTCTCATAAAAGGGGACTGCGAGGTGCCGGAGTCCAGCTCCAACCGGGGCAGGGTCCCCGAAGGACAAGACGGCGCTGGCGAAATGGAGGGATGAGGGGAAGAGGGAATGAGGAGACACAGACACTTGGTTGAGGTGCAAGTATGTCCTGATGAGGGTCTCAGTATGTCTTTATTTCTACATGACAAGCAAGCCCTGGGAGGACATAAGCATATGCATTAAGGCAGGAAGGTAACAATCATCAGGTCTTTCTCAAGAACAGCCAGGGGTCTATTTGAGCTCCTGCAGAGGTCGTGACATTTATCATTCTCTGTTGTGAAGAAGGCACAATTGCTAAACAAAGTGTCCTTAGAATAGTCATTTATCTTGAACAACCAAACAATCATCTTATTAATATCAAAGCTAGCAAAACAAAAACTTATGTGACTGACAACTAACATCTCTATATTACCACTGTGAACGATTAACTAAGGGCTCGGGGGATCAAAGGATGGAAGTTATGGGGGGGAGGGAAAGGAAAACAAAGGGATTATTTCTAACCTATAAACTTAAGAGTAACATGTAACTATAGGATCAAAGCAAAAACAGAAGGCTTTCATATAGAAATCATCACCTAATAATATATTGTTTTAATAAACTATTGATTCAAGATTAAGGAACCAAGGGCCTGGAGGACGTCAATGCCGGGCAAGCCGCACTGACTTTTCCCTAAACCCAAGCTCTCAATTAAGGGGGAATTCTCCTAATCTATTAAAGTTTTTCCACCTATTACTCCCATACTTATCTCGTCAGCCTAGTTTCCATACCTAACTAAGATCAAGGGAAAACTCCTTTCTCTATAAGATTGCTGACTGTTGCTTCAAAGAACTATAAATATTTTACCAGGGATGATTATAGCTTTTGGTTCCCAGAACAGCTAATAGGTGACATATCACTTGTTGTAACATTGATTATTTCCAAATGCACTCTTTGTGCTACCATGGTTATCAGCTCAGTCAGTCACAACATTGTTGTTGGCTTATTCTTGAACGCATACTTTAACAATTGCCATGACAATGGTCACATCCAGGGGAATCAGCCATAAACAAACGAGTAGGATCCAGCAGAAGCCAGCTATGGAGCCTCCTGACTTTTCTGGAATTTCCCCCATACCCGGACCTTGTCAGACGACATGAGCAGCAGGGCCAGCGTCAGCCAGGAAGGAGGTAACACAAGTTTGACACACTACAACGGTTAAGAGGCAAAGTGGATTATCCACAAACTGCCCAGTTCCCAGGTGAATGAGTCACTGTGGCTGATGCAGCCCCTGAGGTAAGAATCTTCTCGGCACCCGGTGTCATAGAGAAACGATCTCCAGAGCTCAGGAAAGGGCGCTTCCCGTGTCTCCGATGACCCCCCACGAGGAACTTTGCACACCCCGTTGGTGACGGGGCCGGCTGCACCCGCTGTGCTTCTCGGGTGGGCCCTTCAGTGACGCAGAGAGGGCCCTGCTCGCACTGCACCGAGTCGGCTGATAACGCATGTTAGAAAACCAGAGACGAGCACCCAGGGTGCGGCAGCCGCGTGGCTCCTGGTCACTCGCGGCTCAGGAGAGCCTGGATTCTACTCCAGGGAGAGTGTAAAGGTGCCTCCTGAAAGCCCCTTCCAGGCTCTGAACGGTGTGAAAGCCCCTTCCAGGCTTTGAACGGCCACCTTGGCCGCGCGGCGGGCAAGTGACGCCTCGGCCCCAGACGTGGGCCTGAGGAACGCGGAGCCCCGGCCCTCGCTGTCCACTGGGCACAGCCGCACCCGGGACACTGGACGCGGCTCGGCCTCCGCCTGCTGGACCCGGGGCGGGCGGGGGACGGGCCCCGGGAGAGTGGAAAAGCCGTTCCCCGAGCTGCACTGAGACCCGCGGGGTGGAAACGGGGGGGGGGGGGGGGGGAGGCCCAGGACCCGCCGGGGCGCCCTCGCGGGCCGCAGTCGGGAGCAAACGCCTCGGGAAGCGGCGGGGCCAGCGCAGGAGGGACCCGGACCCCTGCGTCCTGCAGGCCCCACAAGGCTCCCCAAAGCCCAGTTCTCCACATGCAGCCCGCGCCGGGGCCGCCCCGAGCCCTCGTGCTTCCCTCCCTGGCCTCACCTGTCCGCTCCCCGCCGCCGGCTGCCCAGGACAAGCGCAGAGGCGCCCCCGCGGGGATCCTGGAGGACCAGGCTCACCTGAGCTGGGGGCCGGACCCTCAGGACCAGGCTCACCCCAGCAGGAACCTCACCCAGAGTTGGGGCCGGCAGGGCCAGGGGCCGGGCCTGGGCGAGCGCGCGCGCGCGGTAGCAGCAGCGCAGGTGCAGCAGGTGCGTGGGGCGAGCGCGCAGGGTCTGGGAATAAACAGTGAGGTGCGGACAGGGGCCTCCTCCTCGCCCCAACACTGTGCCCCCGCATTATCCGCCAGGCAGTAACACGGCAGGCCAGGCTGCTGGCATTTCTGGGAAAGATTTTCCTTAAATCATTCTTGAAAATCCCCTCACCCGAAGCTGACATGTAAAGCACGACGAGGGGCCTCCCTGGGGGCGCAGGGGTGAAGCACCGCGCTGTGAAGCCACCCGCAGCCCCCGCAGCACGAGTTCGAGCCCCAGCCAGGAAGGTGACCCACAGGGCCCCCAAGACCTCTCCTGTCTCCCCACTGCACCCCTCAGCAGCGGATGTCAGCCAGTCCACCTGTTCTGCTCCCCGCTGCGCCCCAGGTGTGCGCCCTTCAGGCCCCAGCGCCTCCCGCGCTCCAGGCCCAGGTGATGCCGCAGAGGCCGGGGCCCCGGGCAGAGCGGCGGCCTGGACTCGCGGACTCCCGCTCTGGCCCTGAGCCCCGCCACCCTGCGTGCCCCGGATCTGCCAGGGCCGCCCCGCAAAGGGTCGCAGTGTCTTGTGTGTTTCGGGAGACACTTTGGAAAAGTCACTGACCCTCAGGTGACTGCAAATGCGCGGGGACTTTCCCAGTAGCCCAGGTGCTCTCCATCCACTCTCAGGACGCCTCACGCATAGGTGACCGCACCTGCGGCGCTGCGCCTGCTCTCATCACAAGCCTCCATATCGCGTTCAACCAAAATATTCCAGGGACCCAGCACATCGCCCCCCAAAATAAATCATCTCGGTTCCCATGAGGAACCCAGTCCCCCGGCCCATTTCAACCCCCAACACCTGCTCCCACGGGTGCGAGCCTCTTCCTCCATCTGATCGACTTTGCTCTTGGGCACCTCTTCCTGACACGCTCCTCCTTTTCACACCATGATGGGTTCAGTGAGTGCCCTGCCTGCACTGTGGGGTGTGTGTGTGGGGGGCTTTTCTCTTTTTTTCAAGAGTTATTTATTGTGTATACAAGCACTGGGGTGTAGACCAGAGGTGGGGGGGTGTAGAGGATGCACCAGAGAGAGTGGCGGTCAGAACAGGTGGATCTATTGAAATTCCCTGGTGAGGGGAGCAGCGAGGAGATGGGAGGGTCTGCTGGGCCCTATGGGCTGCTCCTGGCCGCGGGGTCCATCTCTTGCTGCAGTAGCTGGCGAGAGCTGGATGGGGCTTTCTTTAAGAAATGACCTAAGGAAATGCTTTGAACACAAATAAAAATCTATATTTGTAAAAATGCTAACCAGCACTTTTTTTATACTAACAAATACTGGAAACAATCTAAATCAAAACTCCAGGAAACAGTCAAATATATGACAATCAGTGTAGCAATTAGGTACAATCATTCGGAATAGTTTTCAATGACTTGAAAAATACTTATAATGTTAAATGAAGGAGGAAAGATAGAAAATGTAGACATAGTGTTATTCCAGATATAAAATGAACGTATGATTGATTTAAATTTTAAATACCAGACAAAATTGAAATCATGTGTTATGTATGCATTTAGTGATACACACTTAGGTGATGAATTGTCATGAAGGGCAAGTGAAATAATGACAGCCACATATTCGTGCTTAGTCAGGGAGGAAGATTATGACACAATGTGGTCTTAGGTTTCTTCACCCAGTTAATGGGAGCTCATTTTGTAATTCTAAATTTTTGTGTGTATAGTCTCTTCCCTTACACACAGGTGTTAGAGTTCACAATTCAAAATATTGGAAATTATGGGGAAGAAAGTAAGATAACTCATGAAATTATCTTTTAAAAAAATGATTTATTTTATGCATACAAGAACTGGGGTGTAGGCCAGAGGTACAGGGGGTGAGAGCATTTACCAGACACAGAATGGGGAGCAGAACAGGTGGATCCACTGAATTACCCTGCTGAGGGGAGCAGCGGGGAGACAGGAGAGGTCCGCTGCGCCTTGTGGGTCAACTCCCTGGCCGGGGATCAAACTCAGGGCACAGTGGCTGGCAATAG